GGTAGGCTGCATCTCAAGCCCGAACATGACTTCCGCTGAGGATCTGTTTCCTGGTGCAGCGGGGTTAGGCGTAGCCTGTTAACTTAACAAGAACAGCTGTATAATCACTTCTGTCGATCCTTACCCCCGCAATTTTAGTAGGTAGCTACGAATCTTGCTGTCTGTCAGTTGGACTGGGGATGCCCGGGAGACGACCGGCAGTGCTTGCTGCCATTACGTTGACAGAAAGCACCAAATTTATAGGACATAAATTGTGAACCGTTATCGGAAGAAAAGAGATTTGGTGAACCGAATTATGCAAGTAACTGTTGTTGTTTCCTTACTATGGCAGCTGTCGTGGTTGTGGTCATCAGGTAGACGTCTGACCAGTTGGTGTATGCTTCATCCTTGCACTGGACGAGCGAAATCAGTGTGAATCCTCTCCCAACGCTTGGATGATAACATCTGGGTCATGATGCTTTTGCTCGGATGTTTCGCTGCTGATGCACAATTGCTAAATGCGGCCATACCGTCATGCATGGAGCTGTCAGTAAATGGCTAGAGCTTTCAGCTATAATATTCCGCTGTTATAAGCAAGCCTTCCCTGATATATAACTTGTAACTTCTTACAACTTCTTCTGTCTTAAAACTCCTCATTTTGTTTCCAGCACTGAAACATGGTGCAACTCAGACATAAGTTACTCTCAGCTTCAAGTTATTGGCTATCACCTGTTTTGAAAAGATAGTTGGATCAAATGCGGAGGATGCGCTATCTACATTCGAAATGATATCACAGAGATATCTGTTGACCTTCCGGCTCTCAATGACCCTGGTGATTCGTCGTGGTTAGCAATCGATTTTAGTGACCTTATACTGGTTGCGTCCATAGATCCCCTAGCGCTACCAATCGCCATACTGTACAACTAGTTGGGGCTATCAACACTGCCTTAAATATTTCTTACAAACATAAGCTTGTATGTGGAGATTTAAACTAAACGCATATTGACTGGACGGCGCACACAATTAAAGTGTCAACGAGCTACATGCGATTAATCCATAGCAATAAGATCAACGGTTGGGCAACAAGTTAAGCAACTTACAAGAACAGTCAACACATTAGACCTGATATTTACCATGGGCTTTCCGTCATTGCTCGTCACTATTGACAGCTCACTAATCGGCTGTGACAACAATACAGTGCTCTGCAGCATGCAAGCTAAAATATCAAAACAAACTACGAATGAATGACAAGTCCACTCGTTGTATCCATTTCATTGACCAGATCATATTTGACAATCGCCTCAGTACCCTGAAATGGATAAATCTTTAACACAGGATCCAACCTTAGCCACAAACAAAGTTATAAAGAATTTTACCACCTTTACCGACCTATTGACACATACACTGTGGATTAATCCCCATAGCAGTAGTGGTCAACACAAGCCATGCTTCAAAATTATCACCACATTGAAGAAACTCAGGTCCAAATGCCACAAAAGTTTGTAATATTACTGTGAATTCATTAGAATCTACTGAAACTAATTTTACACAGACACCAGTATAACCCAGCCTCTTCTAAAACGGAAGACAGATGGAGCGTTCTCAAACATTCCCCGGAGCCTGAGTGGTGTTCAAAGAAGTGTAATTTCTATAAAACCTTCATTTCACTAAGTACCTGATGGTATTCCTCTAGCTGTCATCAAGCGTGGAGGGAAAAGTATTCCTCTACTGATGTTAAACGGCTTCACATTATCCTAAACAGTGGTTATTCCCCTCCGCAGTGGGAACTCGCAGTACTAGCACGAAAACACAAAGGTGGCTCCTGATCTGCAATGAGAAGTCATTGCCCAACTAATCATACTACGGCAGTCTCAAAGGCACTGCAGCGAATTGTCAACTATGGTCTTTTCAATTCTCAATAAGATTAGACTTCATCAATAACGTATAACAAGACTTTCTTGAGAAGTGATCCTGTGGTAACTGTCAAATACACTTCATTGACCACGTAACACCGGTTGTTGACAATGGACAAAAAGCTCGGTGCACTATTGAGGCGCGCAGTGGTTGCTGCACCTAATTTCCTAATAGTTGGTGATCTAAATCTTCCTCATGCGGATTGGCAAGGCACCGCAAACAGAGCGGATACATTGGAACAGGAACTGGTTGACTGGATGCATGAGAATGCACTTGAACAATACATCAATATGCCGACCAGGAGCCGAATCGGGGGTGCCCCCTCCACGTTGGATGTTGCCATCACCAAACACGGTCGTTTCGCAGAGCTACAAGTGGAAGCACCTTTAGGTAGGAGTGATCACTGCGTCCTCACTTTCTGCCTAAATACCTTGAAGCCTGCACGACATCCTCGCCTCGTGAGAAATTTCAGCCGCATCGACCATATGAAATTGAGGGATAGAGCCCTCCAGGTCAATTGGATCCCTGACCAGGAACAGGCATCTTTGGAACAAAGGTGGTCTGTGCTTAAAACTGGTTTAGTACAACTATTGAATGAGTTTGCTCCTCTTCGTCCTGCGAGACATTTCAGCAGGCCTCGATGGTGGAGGAGGAGAATTGATAGAGCTCTAAAGAGACGAAATGAGAAGTGGAAAATATTCTATGAGGCCAGGGGCTTTCGACGATGGCTACAGTACACAAAAAGCCGGAATACGGCTATCAAGATGCAACGGCAGGCTAACTACTCTTATGAGCTTCGGCTGGCTCGGTATGCGAAAACAAATCCAAAGTGTTACTACGACTATGTTCAGTCTAAAGCCTCCCTAAGAGAGGACGTTGGGTGTCTAATTATGGAAGATGGCAGCCAGGCTGTGGAAGCCAGAGATAAAGCTGAGATGCTGCTAAGAGTCTTTCAGAATCTGCATAGGAGGGACAATGGATGTGCTGCACCATCGCAGCCACACTGTGTCAGCAGTTGTATAATGTAGGACATCGTGCTGACTGCGCAAGAGGTCTTTACTGTGATGACTAACTTGAATCCCTTCAAATCAGCCGGTCCTGACGATGTACATCCGGCAATAGTCAAGCCACTAGCTGACATCCTTCAACATCCTGTTCTGGAGCTGTTCAACTTGTCGCTCCAGGAATGCAAGTTGCCACGAGACTGGAAGGAAGCAGCCATAGTTGCAATTCACAAGGGTGGCTCCAAATCGGAGCCCCTTAACTACAGACCCAGCAGTCTAACCTGTGTCCATCTCAAGTGTTTAGAGAAGCTTATAAGAAACCGGATTTGTGAGCATTTGGCGGAACACAGTCTACTTGGAGCAGAGCAGCATGGTTTCATTAAAAAGAAGTCGTGCCTCACTAATTTACTGTGCTTCCTCGATGAGATAACTCGATGTCTTGACGACGGGATTCCGGTAGAGGTCTGCTATCTTGACTTTAGCAAGGCTTTCGACTCAGTAAATCACCGTTTCCTACATGAAAAATTAGCATGGTTCGGAGTACATCCTAGACTTCTGTCTTGGGTCTCAGAATTCTTATGTGGGAGAACGTTTCGAGTTAGAATCGGTGACGTGAGTTCTAGTGTGGGCGTGGCCTACAGTGGAGTACCCCAAGGATCGGTGCTAGGTCCACTTTTGTTTCTTATGTTTATAAACGACTTGGCTCCTCTTATTGAAGACCCCTGTTACATCTTTGCGGATGACTTGAAGCTAGTCAGCAGGGGCAACCGTGCAACACTGGCCAAGGATATCATCAGTGTGGCAAACTGGTCGAAGCAATGGGACTTGGCCTTGAATGCAAGCAAATGCCAAATTCTGACCACTAGTAGAGACGTACTTGCAGTTCAGACTTCCTTTGGGCCCTTCCCCTTACAATGCACTACCCAGGCACGCGATTTAGGGGTCATCATGACGAGCAGCTTCAAGCCTTCGATGCAATGTCGATACGCCGCCAACAAAGCGCGACGAGAATTGTTTCGCCTCAGGTGGGCTCTGTGTAATACCAAGCCAGAAGTGTTCCTGCCACTATACAAAGCAGTGGTTAGGCAACACTTAGAGTATTGTGTTCAAGCTTGGTCGCCCTATCTCCGTGATGATGTTCTTTGCCTGGAGAAGATTCAAAGACTAGCAACCAGGATGGTTGAAGGTCAACGGGGGAGGCCGTATGAAGATCGCCTAAAGAGCCTGGGGTTGTTTTCCCTTGAACGGCGTAGACTGAGAGGCGATCTGATAGAAACATTTAAGATCATGAAGGGCTTCAGTGCCATCGTGCCCTCTGATTTATTTGAGCTGGCTGATTCTGAACGCTTGCGTGGACATCGCCTGAAGCTCAAACAACAGAGAGCTAGACTGAACGTCAGGGCTAAGTTCTTCTCGAATCGTGTAGTGCGCAACTGGAATAAGTTGCCTTCGGAACTAATGGATTGTGAGACTGTGGTTGCCTTCAAAGCAGGCCTAGACAGGTGCTGGCCGCGTATTTTTCCGGAATTAATATAATCCTATCCAATTTATTCGCATTGTTATCCGATGTTGATCCTTGTAAAAGCAAAGATTGCTCTCGCTTTTGATTCATTTCTTTTTGCAGAGGCAAGGAGAGGCGATCAAAAGTCGAAGTGCCGGGGCTCTGGTTCGCTTACCGGTACAAGAAGCTGGACGCTCGTTAGGCGGGAGCCTGTATCGTCCACGGATTTTGACCTGACCTGACCTACTAGACATGCACAAGTCACTGGAGCGTGTGTTGTTTTAAAACGGTTGTTCCCAGGGTTCGACTTAGCAGCTTCTTAGTTTGCGCCACGCGAATCAAAAGACAACGCACCAGACAGGAAGTGTATTTGCGAAACACTGCACGGGCCGACGTGGGAATGAAAATACTCTGATTACAGTTCAAATCACGACTGAGTGCTAATTTGAATTTATCGATCTCAATGAATCACGGAACATGTGAGTAGTCTGAAACAAGCGATTGTGACAAATGTTCTGCAGCACAGAAAAACTCTAGTCTGATTGTAACTGTGACTGTTCTGATACAAGGCACAAGGTTGCTTGTGGAAATTGCCCACTTACCTTCCCGAACAAGTCAATTTGTTTCGTTTCCGTGCACATTTAACTTTGGTCTGACCTAACAAAAACCTACCTAGATCGGACACGGAAAGGTAAAATAAGCCAGCAACTCTCCTCCTCTTGAGAAGTTACAAGCGGAGTTATCCAGGACAGTGTGATTATAGCACTACACTTTCTAATGTATATAAGTATCATCTGTGACTCCATCAAACATGGACGTTCATACTTCTTTGCGGATAATATTAAACTAGTTTACTGATTTCCACCCGGACAGCATTGGGTATGGCCTTAAAACATGCGTGAGGACTTATCCGCATGGACTTTTGGAGAAAAATTAGTCCATGAAATTCTCCGCTGAAAAATCGCAATTGCTTGGGTATGGATACTGCATAACTGATGACACCAGTACCCTAGCAGGCACAAACCTCCCAAACTCTTCTTCAGTTAGGTACCTGAGAGTTATATATTCCGCATCGCTGAACTTTTTCGAGCATGTCTCAGATCAGACAGCAAAGGCAAGACAACTGAAAGTTTATATCATAAAGTCCTTCTTTTTTCCGGAAACGAGACTTGAAATGTTTAAGCTTATCGTGCGCCTTATGCTAGAATACTGCACAAATATCCATAAGCACCTGCGCAGAATGGATCAAGTTACTTTGGAAAGCATTCAGCTTGCTTTCAAGAAACTCATTATGCATCGGTCAAGCAGTCTGAACCATGAGGACCGCAATCCCCTTGCTTTAAACTAGACCCTCTGTGGTTGCGCAGCCAACAAAATAAGCTATTTATTTTTTACAATCTTATACATTGTCGGGTGTACACGACCGGAATAGATCCTACCTTGCAAAATTCCCCAAATCACCCTAAAAGAAATAGGGGCTACACAGTATCCATAAAAATGGGAACTTAAATATCCGCTCCATCGTCTTCCTGGTAAGATATACTCACATATGAACTAAGCTACCATTGGAAGCATATGCAAATAAGAACTTAAACAAAGTTAAAATGAGGTTAGGTGCTTTTCTCACCACACAGAACATAATGAAACATTCGGTCTTCAAGTGCCTACAGTTGTATTAATTTCCTCAGGTCCAAACAATATATGACCAATAATGCAGGTTCACCACACACCATCACACCTTAATCTGTTGCTCGATAATGCCACCCTTGAAGTCCCACTTTAGGTGCACAAACAAAATATGTGTATCTATTGCCTTCTCTCTCCTTCGTACATTGTAACTATCCTGCTTTGCTCTGGTATCCGGATAATTTGCTTCACCTAGTGTGTAGTGAAACGAAAAGCGAACTCATTACTAACGTTACCTGCTGTTATTCTAAACTTCTGCAATATTTTATCACGCCCAATCATATGGCATCTCACAATGTCGCCAGACATGTTATTCGACTACTTATCTGTTGATATTTCTACTCCCTATTCTAACTAATTCATCTTGTTCTCCAGGTATTCTGTTGTTCATGAGTGAGCCGATCTCTTGGGGTGATAGCTTGAAACTTCTAATCAACACGTATACCCACGCCAGAAGACCCTCAGGTGAATATAAAAGTGTGTTCAAATTAAAAAATATTCCGCTCTGAACTACTGAACTCACACTTAGTGGCATATGACGCCAACCGGTGATCCCGGTCATCAGTCCTGCAAAAAAATATGAATGACGAAATGGCTGACTGGTTTGAGTAACTAGCTTACCAGAAAAAGGATTACGCAAATGATGGATAAAACCGGTAGTGGTCAGGGTACTTTTAAACAACACCGATACATGACCAGCTCGGGGGCGGAGGTGCGGGTGCAGGACTACCCCGCATGGAAATATGTCCCCGGCAGACGGTTCCACGAATGACTGTATTACTGCACTTGTTCTTTCTTACCCTACTTCAATTTGCGCTGAATCTGTTGTGCTCCTGGTTCCCAGTTATTTCATCTCTATCGTCCTACTGTTTTATCTATATTTGTAGAAAGTAGAAGTCACAATTAAACCGCACACAATAATCTGCCTCGACGGGGAATCGAACCCCGGTCCACGAATTGCCAGTCCGCTGCTCTACCACTGAGCTACCGAGGGCTGACGGTTAGGTGCACAATTTAATACATGACTTCTGCTTGTTGCGCGACGTATTGCCAACGAGCTCACAGTAACTGTCCTGGTGTCGCAGATTGGACCACTCACTCGTCACCTCCCAAGGAACAAAGTAACTGTCCTTCTGAAGTCCAAAGGGCGATGGTAGACTAGTTGAAGGATGTTTGTGAGTGGAAAGTAGAAGTCACGATTAAACCGCACACAATAATCTGCCTCGAGGGTTTGATCGTGACTTCTACTTTCTACAAACATTAAGCTACTCACAAACATCCTTCAAGTAATTTACCGATATTTCTCCTTAAGTTATTCCTTAGACCATAGCCTCGCTCTTAGTTGTGCTACAGTTCCTCTATATTACTATACCAAGAAGCGGATAACTAATGCACACCTTCCTAATTAACCTGTCTCTGGCATCTTCTAAAAGACTATGAGCCAGTGAATAAGTCCTGACTGCAGTGAATGGGCCCTTATTTCTTTGTCTACTTATCCGCTTAAATCTCCCTTTTCAACATTACGTTTACTGTACATAGTCACACACCCCCTAACTATCCACCTACAAATGAAAGCTGAAAGAAATTCAACTGAGCTCAACCAGCATCTCAACCATCTGGCAGCCTAAAGCCCAACTTGATTAGTTCAAATCCATAATTAGACATAGGAATGTTTAGACACTACGCTGTGCCTTAAACCCCTACGAAGTGAATACTGTCCTTATTATTTTCATAAAGCAAGTTGAGTTTGATGTTCCATTGGAGTTAACTTAATATAGTCTTTCCCTTATTTTTGCAACACCCTAACTTGCTAGTCACAAATAACTCCAACCCTATTACTCCAGTCTATGAAGTAAGGTTGTGTATTACCCATCCGATTTTGATCGGAGAATCTAAAAGCTTCAACCTTTCCATACTCCGTCCTCTCCCCCCCCCATCAAACCGCCTCTATCATGGCACCACCAAACTGAACGAAAAACAACCAAATGAGAATGTCCGCAAACTGGTAGCATATATGAGACAAAAGTCCCAAAGAAAAATGTTCGCATAAACAACAAATGTTCGCATGAAAACCCAAACGATTGACAGCCTCGTATACCTGAGCATGTTACAACATAAATACTATCCGTGCCTTTGTGGACTCTGTTTCTCTGTATCACGAGAAATATACCTTAGTATAAGATTGTGAGTTCGAGTCATCTCATCTTACAATCTTCAGACGTATTGCAGTAGCGCGGGAGGCAACAGTTGTGCGGAAGACTGCAAAGTCACAAGAACGAACGAGAACAGGGACAGGCACAGACTTTATGGAGGAGGTCAAACGGTGCAATAAAAGCACTACGAACGAACGAGCAGAGTGTGTATTGCGAGCTAGGAGCAATAGCTGGCCTGAGTCTAGGAGTAAAGAGAATATTGGCTAAAACGCCTATAGATCAGACAGAAACAAGCACAGTAACACAACCGCGATCAAACAAATCCAGAGTCTTAGACAAATGCCAAGTTGGTCAGCATGCGATATACGGGGTCAAACAGACAGCCAAGACTCACCAGTTTGGGGCGAAACGATGCACGAATATGACAGGTAGTGATTTCCCATACACGGTGCTCTGTGGGTCTGAGAAATGAGCGGTTTGTGCTCGCTTGTGTGACAGCTTGTTTAACCGCGATAGCGTGCGTTAAACTCTGTACCATCCTGTCGCTTCGTTCTTGCTATACACTGAATAGAAACCTACTTCCATAAGCTCAGGGTGTTTCATTGTGCACGACACATCGAAACATATTTTCTGGAAAGGTTTAACGAACGAAAGGAGGTAGCATTCCACTCAATATCGTCGCGGAAACGCAGTAACACTCGTTTATTGTTTCTTCTATGAACCTATAAGATAATCACCTTAACGAAGTACTTTTTCACAGAAAGTACTATTACATGGCATCAGTCATGTAGCCATTGCAGAACCCGAATTCTAAGTGAGCATGCAGCGTTTTGGTTTATTGGTCAAAATTGCGTTGCGATTAAAATCAAGCAAAGGCAATCTACAGTAACCACACCAGTGAGTGTACAGCTATAGTTACGTTGGATACATTTTGGAATGTATTCGCACACTCGGCCTAGACATACTTGAAAGATTATCTCAGTTTTCAAAGACAGTGCGTAGAGCAATAAGTGTTATATAACAGGCCGTCAAGCGACACTCTGGGAATCATGTGTTCACCAAAATCCAAGTTAACGCAGCACATAAATGCTCCCAATTCGTTGGGACCATCGAAATCCAGTAAACTAGGTGGAGACACCGTGCCTCTGCTTTAGATTTGTTCCGTGTAGATGCAAGTACAATGTGCAAATTGCCGAATAGATACAAATTTTATTGTGGTTGCTGGTGGACAGCACTAATGGTTGTTTGATGGTCATGCTGAATACGGACTACTGTATTAAGGAAACGGGTAGCATTTTAAATATTTACAACTCCAACGTAGTATGAGGAAAAATGTTAGAAACATCAGGGACTATTATGATCTGCAAACACGCCGATCGTATTTCAAGTTCTCAGGCAATCTCGTCAAACCCATAAACACAGAGTAATTGGGGGCTCACAAATGTGAGATATCATTATCTGGGAGTATTCGTTCTCGGAATCTAACAGTGGAGAAAGGTAAATTCAACACACAATTCTGAACTGCCGCGCTGAACTTTTTTGTAAAGTATGATCGGGCAAATTGTAATCATGGTCCTTGAACGGGGCGAGCTGATAGTTATTGCTCATCAGTTACCAAATCTGTTGACAGATATCACACGAACCATTCTTTCCGATTTCAATCATCCTGGGCACAAACAGTTAACATGGGCAAGAACCAGTCTTGAAGTATTCTGCTATTATTTCCGTCAAGGAACATCCGTGATCCGCTTTCTGGCCATTCCATCCATAGTGCAGTTGAGTCTCCAATGAATTAAATGTTGCACCGATCGGTGATAGACCCAT